AAACATCAATGTGAGGTTGCCTCTCATGTGCCCCCAGCTGGGTACCTGGCCTGCAACCCAGGCATGTGCCCTAACTGGAAACTGAAACGGTGACCCTTTGATTCACAGGCCAGTGTTCAATCCACTGAGCCACACCAGCCAGGGCTAAAAATATATATTTTAAAATAAAAAAACTAGAAAGATAAAAGTATATGCATATTTTTATATACACATAAAAAAGTGTAAGTGAAAAAGTTAGAATGCCTCTAAAAGTACCTTCAGGGTATTAACTCACTATGTCAAATGCAACAAAAACAGCTCATGGGTATATTTTTTACTATTGTGATGATGATGATGATGATGATGATGATGATAATTGCCAAACTACTCTTATTCCTTCAGCTGGGAAATTATAAAAAATTTCTCTGAACTAAGAAAGAAATTCAAAATAAATTAAGCACATAACATGCACCAGTCTCTCAGCGGTATTCATTAGGCTCTCTTGGAATTCAAGAGAAAGCAGGAAGTCCAGTACCTGAAGAGCTCCTGAAGGAAGAAAGCACTGATGAAGCTTCCCTAGAAGGCTCCCTCGTCCCAGAGCAGGTAGCATGTTACATTATCACACATGGAACAAAGCAGGATTAATTTAGAAGTCAAAGATGGAATGAGAATGAAAAGAAAAATACCTACTGCGAAGAGATAATACTTCATACAGAACGGAATAAATGTTCCATTCTTAACACTGAAGAAGAGTGAAGAGAAGAAGGAGGAGGGTGAGATGGGAAGGGAGAGGAGGGAGTGATGGGGGAGGAGGACAGAAGAGGGGGATGAAAACTACAGAGAGGGGGAGGGAGGAAGAGAATAGAAGAAATAACACTAACATGAACTATGATTTCTTACTTAGTCTAAAGGTATCCAAGGGACGAAGCTAATCACTGCATGTGACTCACTGCTAGTAAACTAGTGACAATGAGGTAGGTTTACTTAGCCAAACTTTACTTTTTTAGTTGATTATGAAAGTAGTGGTCACTATATTGTCCAGATTTACCTAAAGGCACATAAAGATAAGCTGACATAAGAAAAATATCCTCATAAAAAGACTGGCACTCTTAAATTTACCTCCTCCTCCAAAACTAGTGGCATGCATATGAGAGTCAAGAGTAAACAGGCTGCACTTGTGAACCAGCAGACACTTGAACCTCACCTGCCAACACCAGACAGCAGAGAACTTCCACCAAGTACACTCCTGGAGTGGGCTTTTTCCTGAAGGACAAAGACTCTGGGAAGTCTCTCATACCCTAACTATAGGAACCTAAGACACTCATTCTACACTCGTACTGAAAATGAAAAAGTCACATTGCAAGAAAACAAAAAGCTCAATATTATGTGCTACAGTTGTCAAAGTGAGAAAATCAAGTCAATGGCTTGATTAACAAACAATTCACTGTTTCAAATAAACAATATATTTGAAAAGAAACTCTAATATCCTGATTCATAAGCTACTTCAAAGTAATTAAAAATATCATATTTTCCCCTACTTTAATTTATATAGTTAACAGTTTTAAACCATCAGAGCCTTGACTAGCCTTTCAAAGAAACTTAGCAACAAAAGCACAATGACTCGAAACAATGGACTTGTATTTATTTTTTGCAGATGGAGAGGTTAAGGAGAGAAATGTACAGAAATCCAAACAACAGGTATAAACATGTTTATGACTTAAGAGGAAAGGAACATCATCTGAACAGATTTCTTGAGCATCCCCTATACCAAGTGCTACAAGCAAGAATCACTAAGTTCTTCCTTGCTCTTTTTACTCTGCTAAGAACACCCAGAACCACAAAATTCACTTTTAAAAAATGATACTGGCTGCTTGTTGTTTTCCTTTTGAGCAACAGAGGACAGACCAGGCTCTTATGTTTTCATGGCACATCATGGGAACATTTAACTTACACAATTATAAAATAAGAATGTACTGACACTAAAGATACCTTTATGAACCTGTCACTTGAAATTTTTTTCATGACTTGGCTTAATTATATAGCTATATAATCATACAAAATTTCACTCAGAAAGCTATAAGCATTACTAGTTTTGGGGCATGAAAAAACTTATAATGGTGAACTTCTCATTTATTCTCAAACTAAAAGGCTGACAGTAAAATTTAACAAAAATTCTTAGATTGTACAGTTTTTAAATTATAAAGAGGGTTCATGTTTCATAAAGATTTGTCATGCTTCAGTAAATAAGAAATAATAGTAATAAACAATTTCTTATTTAAAACCCAATATTTGGAACAAGGGACTCATATGTTTTTAACAGTCTCAAGAACAAATATGTGAAAACAACAAGACAATACAAACAAATATTTTTTAAAACAAACACAAAAACACAATAATGATTCTAAAATATTTGGAAGCTAGGGGTGGGCCACCTATGGCCAAAGATGACAGAAACTAATTCAGTCCTCTGTATTCCCTGAACTTAAGAACAAAATGCTTCATGACTGATGACCTACTTTAAAAAGGTGTCCTTTTTGGAAAAAGTTAATTAACCTTCTTTACAAAAGCAATACTAAGAGCACTTAGAATTATGAGATGCCTTTTTAAAAGATGCCTTACACTTAGTAGCAGAGACACAAAGAAAAATGCTAGCACTTTTTCTTTTGGAAATGATAGCACTCAGCAACTTCTCAGATTAGCCACCCTTAATAGCTAAGAACAGCTATATCTCTGACTTCGCATTTGCTAAGAGTTTGTTGAGAACATATTAATATATGTGGATAAATTATTTAGAATCTAAGTAAATTTAGTTTAAATATGTAGTACCAAACTTCACTTAGGATATTGATGATTAATATGCAGGGTGGGGCAAAAGTGGGTTTACAGTTGTTCATATTGAAAATAATATAATAAATAAATAATACAAGAATGAACTCTGTTTCACACACAGCCGTGAGCCTGGTTTTGCCCCACCCTGTATTCTCACTCTAGTTTTTTCTGCTTTTCCACTGGGTCATTGGGCCCCTGAAATTTTATTCCAAATGTCATTGCCCATATTTACCCATCATAAATGGAGTTCATGTGCATGAACTCTAGCTCAGCAATCCAAAGCAGAGATTCCTCTTTTTATGCGAGATTTTTATTTCTACAATTCCGTTAATTTTACTTGCTTATATTTGTAAGCAAGAATATGTATTCATCAAACACAATGAATAACTAAGAATACGTATTCATCAAATGCACAGAATAACTAAGATTTCCTTACATGAAATTGGAAGGTTTTTGAGGTCATTTATTTATGATAAGTATTCCTTTTCCAGTATTTTCAGTGTTGTGGTACCCAGTCCTTCTGGAAACTTCTGGTTCCCTCAGGAGGCAGTCCTACTATTTGAAACTCAGAGGCGAGCAAATATCTGCTTCCCACCTTTGTTCCTGCCTCTTTTCTGGAGCAGCTGACAAAACAGTCTGCTTTGGGAATGCTCAGTTAGCCCTTTCTTGTCCAGTTAAACTCCTCCTGGTTGGGATAACATTCTTCTCACAACAGGTCACCATTCTGATTTGCTTCTTCTGAGTATATTCCAGTTTTCAAAATATCCTATGAAATACGGAATCTATAATTCAGCCAGGAGTCTAGATCTAGATTAACCAGAGGAGGAGACTGTGGCCCTCTCCTGTTCTCCTGGGATATAAATGGTTGGGGGCTGCATTAATAGAAATTTACTAGTAGTTTCCTTCCTGTGATAGTTGATAATGAGTCATCCAGCTCTTCTGACCTGAATTGTCATAATATGATGATGATCACAGTCTGGTATAATACCTTGTGGGGGAGGTTGTGGACCCTGTGTGGTTGTGGGTCCTATCTAGATCACTCAGCTAATGTCAGTATCATTTGAGTTTTGAGTTTGAGGAATCTGATGGTTTGAGCAACCATCCAGGTTTTCCTATTCTCTACTGCTCTTTCCTCTGTTACTGAATTGGGCTGATAATGCAATGTTCTTAAAATTATTCAAAGATGTCTTTACTATCAGAGTACTAAATCATCAAAATGACTTTTTCACAAGACATTGTTGATGTTTTAGTCAATGATAGACTACATATACCACAGGTGGCAAACACAAGGCCAGCGGGCCAAACCCAGGCCTCCACCTTGTTTTATCTGGTCCAGCGCCTTATTTCTACCTGGCAGCAGCACTGAGCTCTCACTTAACTGTTAAGGAGTAGTTACATTTATATAATCCTAAAATTATATTTGGCCCTTTGAAGGCACCTGCAAGGCTGATGTGGCTCCCAGTGAAAATGAGTTTGACACCCCTGACATATACAATGGTTCCTTAGGATTATAATAAAGCTGAGAAGCTCCTGTCAACTACTGATGTTGTAGCACGTTTCACTCACATGTTTGTGGTGAGGCTGGTGTAAGCAAGCCTACTGCACTGCCAGTCATATAACAAAAGAGCACATACAATTAGGTACTTGACAATGATAATAAACAACTGTGTTACTTGTTTCTGTATTTAATAAGTATTTTTAATCATTATTTTAGAATGTATTCTTTCAAAAAAAGAAATAATTTCAAATGTATTTTAAAATATACTCTAGAAGCATAGTAATTCTGGATGCCTGTTTAACTGAAATATAAAGAAAAAACTATTGAACATCCAACTGATTTGAAGGAAACATATATACAGAATCTACAAGTTAAGTCTACATTAAAAAGAGTGACTTCCAGAAACAAGTATTAGTTTACTACTTATTTCTTTGCATTCACACAAAAATTCCTAATGCTTAAATTAAAAAGAGGCTTGAACAAATTAAAATTGGAAAAATGTTTGCTTTTATTTGTTAGGGGAAAAACCCTAAAAATTTATAGCTAGATTTTCTTCGTTTATCACTTCTGACATGCATAATAGTTAAAACGTGAAATTTTCCAGTCTGTATACTACAAATGCCAAATATAAATGCAACTTTTTGTTGTTTTGGGAAAGTCTAAAATTCTCTTTTCCATTAATATATTTACTAACCTCTTCTAGGACTCTCGTGATTGAAGAGAATACCATTCACTGCAAAGAGATTATATGCCTCACGGAAATTCACCACAATCCAGTAGGCATACAGTTTGGCTGCCCCTGTTGAAATAATTTTTAAAAGCAAATAAAAGACAGTGATTAATACGAAAGACAGTGTCTTGTTGTTAAAAAGCAGCAATTTTCAGTCATCTTTAACAAGTAACAACTTGGAAAAATTATACTCTATGATGTATTAAGATAGAAAAAAATGAGTCAACAGCCAAAGACAAACATTCTTTTGCCAGTTAATCAGGTATACAAGAAAATATTAAGAATTTCTTACTTTCTTAATACCCATGATTCTTTCTTTCATAAGCTAATTTCAACTGTAATGTGTGCCATATATCATCTTACACTTTATTCCTTTTTCCTTAGCATTAAGGAATTAGAAAGTGAAAACTATGGGATCTTAATATCTAGCTGCTTAGAAATTTTGTCACTGGAGATTTTCCATAGTCATAAAATATTCATTTTACAAATATAAAAAATATAATAGAACTTTTTTGTTGTTCCTTCTTTTTTTGCTTCTTTTAAGGGTTTAAACTCAGAAAGACTTTCATCGGGGAGATAAAAAACATGGAACCTTATCACTTCAGTGCAATATTTCAGAAAAAAGAATCATGTTTGGTCTCATTTTCTTTTCAAAGTGATCTGTATGAAAAGGTTGAATGAACATGAATTGCTGAGGTGAGGTGGTAATTTCACCCTGGAGGGAATGGGAGCAAATATTTATACTTAGCAATGTATGAAAGTATGCTTCTCAACAAGTCTAGTCACTTTAGTTGATCTTAATGTTAATCTCACACCCAAATGACTTCAGCCAGGAGACATGAACAGAATTGGCAGAAACAAATGCACACCAACACCCACAGGGGAAGCAGCACATGCACAAGTCTGCATGCCGGCACTCTCACCGTATGGTGACCGAGGATAAAAAGGAGTTGTCTCCTTCTGGGGTATTTCTTGCACTTTCCCATAAAGTTCACTTGTTGAAGCTTGATAGAACTTCACAGAGTTGATAAGGCCACAGGTCTTAACTGCATCCAGAAGCCGTAAAGTGCCAACTCCATCAACGTCTGCAGTATATTCAGCCAAGTCAAAAGAAATCTGGAAATAGCAGAAGGCAGTGCTACATTAAGAGTAACAGCAACAAAGATGCTAACAGGGCTAACAACGACTTTACACAATTTCACACACTTAGAAAAGTTATGTTTCTGAGAAAATATTTTCTAATAGAATAAAAGTGTGTACAGTATCTATTTCTAATACCAAATGGCTGGAAAATACCTTAAGAAATAAGTACGTGTGGTAAAAATGAAGCACATTAGATTAGAACCACACCTACCACGTCCTAATTCTAGACTGGATCCCTTAGGGCAGAGTTTCTCAAAGTGCAAATTGCTCACTGGCATCATCTGGGGTATTCCTAAAAAATATAGACGAGACCAGTCTCTGAGGAGTGATGGCCTATGAAATGCACATTTGTAATAAGTCCCTGCTGATTTTACACAAAGAGAAGTCCGAGAACATGTGCTTTAGAACAGTTGATTTTCAAAAGGATTGTTTTCTTTTTAAGATACAAAAATGACTTTTTAGTACATTACATATACAAATCTTTTTAAATTATGAGGCATGCTGAATACTGCTAATTGTTAATATATATTAAATTGTATGACTTCTAGGGAGAGGGTATTAAGGGGTGATTCAATATTTTGCAGTTTTAACATTTTCTTTAAAAATAAATATGATGGATATAATTTTTTCTTAAATTACTTGTGAGTACAATAAACAAATTTATCTAATATTCAAATGACCTAAAATAATCAGGCTGGAAATGGTGAATACAGCCAGGCACAGCTTCCCTGCCTGAATGATCTCGGTGACCACCAGGAAAACCCCCGCTCTGGGGTGAATGAGACGACGGGTCTCAGCTCCTGCCCAGTTCTGACTGCCCCCCAGGCAGAAGCTGCAGCCTCGTCTGTGCACAGCCACAGTTCGTAAGGAACTCAAACCACTGTCAACCAGAGTGCTAGCTGAGACCATTAGATGCTCATCGTACAGTCCTGTCAGTGAAGCTCATGCAGCAGCCAGAAGATGAATAGGAAAAAGGATTTTGCCCACAAACGTTCAAAGCCAGGAAAGCCCAATTTGGAGCTATTTTATTATTTTTAAATAACAATTTATAGTGATAAAATTTACATAGCATAAAATTCAGCCTTTTAAAGTTTAAGACTCTTGTGATTTTTAGTATACTCACAGCTTTATGCAATCAATCATCACTACCATCTAATCCAGAACATTTCACCATCTCGAAAAGAACTCTGTACCTATCAGCAATAGGTGTTTTCCATCTTCCATTCCCACCCTGACAGCCACTAAAATACTTTCTGTCTCTATGAGGTTACCTATTCTGGACATTTAATATAAGTAAAACCATATAATATGGGTCCTCTCATGACCGGCTGCTTTCACATATCATGTATTTATTTCTTTTGCATATGTACCCAGGAGGAGAGTCATTTGGTAACACTATGTCTGACATTTGGAGGAACTGCCATACTGTGTTTCAATGTTGCTGTACCATTTCACATTCTTACCAGCAGGTAATGAGGGCTCCAGTTGCTCCACACCCTCCCCAGCACTTGTATAGTCTGTCTCATTTATTATAGACATCCTACTGGGTGTGGTGTGGTATGTTTTTTTTTAACTTCAGATATAATTGAAATATGACATTATATTAGTTTCAGATGTACAGCATAGAGATTTGATAACTGTATTATGGAATGATCATTGCAATAAGTCTAGGTAACAACCATTACCCAACACAGTTACAAATATTTTTCTTGAGAACTTTTAAGATCTACTTTCTTAGTAACTTTCAAATCTAAGATAGAGTACTATTACATATAGGCCCCATGCTGTACATAACATCTTTATGACTTTTTATTTTATAACTGGAAATCTGTATCTTTTGACCATTTTCCCCCATTTTGCCCACTGCCCACCGAGCCCAACCCTGCCTCTGGCGACAACCAAACTGTTCTCTAACTATGAGTTCATTTTTTTTAAGATTCCACATATGAGTGAGATCATAAGTATTTGACTTTCTCTATCCAACTTATTTCACTTAGCATAATGTCTTCAAGTTCCATTCATGTTGTCCCAAATGGCAGGATTTTTTCTTTTTCCATCAATGGATACTTAATTTGTTTCCATATCTTGCTATTATAAATAATGCTGCAATAAACATAGGAGTACATATACCTGAGTGTTTTCATTTCCTTTGGATAAATCCCCAGAAATGGAATTGATGAGTCATTTGGTACTTCTAATTTTAATTTTTTGAGAAACCTCCACAATGTTTTTCATAGTGGCTGTATCACTTACATGCTCACCAACAGTGCAAGTAATGTATCAGCACTACCCACCCCATGGAGTCTCCTTCATATTTTCTCTTTACATACTGTACTCTTAACCTCAAAATACAGATAAAAAAAGAATGCACATTTAAAAATTCTGCAATTCACTTCAAGCCAGAGTCAAAAGGAAGAAACTGAAACAACTCCCCCTCCCCCTCCTTACATCTAGTGTGTAAGTTTCAAATGGGCAGAGCCTTGACTGTTTCTGCTCACCATTAAACTCCCCAGAATGACACACAAGTCAAAATGAAACTGGAATCTAAAAATGCAAAGTCATTTGAATAAAAGTTCTATTTATTTCTATTTCTTTATGATGCATTAAATAAAATATATATTTAACTCCTCTATAACTGTTAACAGAACTATTATCTCCTAAAGCATAAATAAACTAAAAAAAGTATTTGAATAAAAATATTAGTAATAAATGTTCAAACAAAGAGAGAATTTCATAACAAATTGATAAATAAGGCTTAACTTCTTTCAAGCTTTTCAGCTGAAACAAGAAAATTACATGGATGAATTTACAGAAAGGCAAAATTATCTCAAGAAATGAAATGGCTTTACTACTGAGTCAAGATGTATGTAGCACAGACAGACAGGAACAGCAATGCAAGGTCTGACCGCATAATATATGAGAGTTACAGGAAAACCTCGTAACATAACCAACATTTTGGTCTATGCTCCCACTACACAAGCTAATGAAACTGAAAGCTTTTATGCAAGTGTCCAAGAAGAAATTGACAATACACAAAAACAAGACATGCTGATAATAATAGGTGATTAGAACATAAAAGTAAAAATAATGTAGAAATGAGGAAAGAAATCAGCTCGTGTATTTCTGCAAAGCCAACAACTTGTCAGTCACGTAACACATCTTTCAAACAACTGAACAGATGAGTGTACACATGGACATCACCAGAAGGCCAATATAAAAAAATCAAATAAACTACGTAATTGGAAGCAGGATATGGAGAAACCATTTTCTCTGCCAAAACAAGACCAGGAGCTGATTGTGGTGCTGACCACAAGTACTGTTAATATCAAACATTCAAATAAAGCTGAAGAAGAGCACTAAAGGAGCTGGAGTATTCAAATATAATGTAAATGTGCTTCTGACAAATTTGAAGTCCAGGTGAAAAAAATAGATTTGTGCTGTAAACTTGATTGAGAACCAGAACTGTGAATTAAAGCTAAAAATATTATTAGGGAGGAATGTGAAAAGACAAAGCCAGAAGTAAAAAGGAGAGAAATATCAAGATGGACCAGAGTAGAAACATTAAAAATTATTAAAAACAGGTGAGAGACAAAAGTTAGATGTGACAGAATACTGAACAGTTATTTTTTTTTCATTGCAATTCCCTAATGACATCATGTCAAGCATCATTTCATATACATTTTTACAATTTATAAACCTTTGGTGGTGTGTGTTTAGATTTTTAGCCTATTTTTTAATCAGGCTGTTCATTTTCTTTCTTTGTATTTTATTTTTTGTTTGTTTTTCAATTACAATTGATATACAATATTATCAGTTTCAAGTATACAACCCAGTAACTAGACATTATATTACTTATGAACTGATCACCTGATAAATTTAGGACCCATCTGAAATCATAGTTACTATGATATTGACTATATTTTACTGTACATCCCTGTGTTTTACTTTATATCCTTGTGACTATTGTGCAACTACCAATTTGTACTTCTTAATCCCTTCATCTTTTTTACCCATCTCCCCATGTCCCTCCCATCTGACAACTGTAAAAATGTATCTGTGAGTCAGTTTCTGTTCTGCTTGTCCATTTATTTTGTTTTTTAGATTCCACATAAAACTGAAGTCATATAGCATTTGTCTTTCTTCCTGACTTATTTTACTCAGCACAATACCCTCTAGAATCCATCCATGTTGTTACAAATGGCAAGATTTCATTCTTCTTTATGGCCGAGTCATATTCCACTGCATATTTATACAACTTCTTCTTTATTTATTCATCTACTGATGAACACCTGGGTTGCTTTCATATCTTGGCCATTGTAAATAATGCTGCATTGAACATATGCTGCATGTCTTTTTGATTCAGTGTTTTTCATTTTCTGTGGATGAACACACAGAAGTGTAACTACTGGATTCTTCTTTGTCTCTTGTTATAGCCTTTGTTTTAAAGTATATTTTTCTGGTCTACTTATGGCTATTCCAGCTTTGTTTGTTTGTTCCTATTTTCAGAAATATATTTTCCATCCCTTGACTTTCAGACTGTGTGTATCTTTTGATCTGAAACGAGTCTCTTGTAGACAGCATATGTATGGGTCTTGTTTAATTACTCCTCAGCCACCTTATGTCTTTGATTTGTATGTTTAATTCATTTGCATTTAAACAAATTATTGATATGTATGTATTTATTGCCTTTTTGTTATACATATTTTGATCTCCCTGCCTACCTCCTTCTTCTTAAAGAAGACCCTTTAACATTTCTTATAATACTTGTTTAATGGTGACGAACTCCTTTAAGTTTTTTTTCTTGCCTGGGAAGCTCTTTACGTCTCCTTCTATTCTAAATGACAGCCTTGCTGGATAGAGTAATCTTGGTTGTAGGTCATTTCTTTTCATCACTTTGAATATTTTGCTCCAGTCTCTTCTGACCTGAAAAGTTTCTGTTGAGAAACCAGCTAACATTCTTATGGAGGCACCCT